TCTTTGTTCGCAACTAAAAAATATACCTTTGAATCATATTCTATCAGCCTATGCCAAAATAAAACACTTCTGAGATCGGAACAACGAAAATTACGATACAAGTGGTATACTTATTAATTTTTATCACCAAGAAATGTTTACATTTTAAATGGGAAATTCCAATAAATGTTAAATTTTATTCGAGAAGTTTATGTGCAAATAAAAAATTTTGTATAATGAGTTTATATCAGGTAAAATATTAAAATGTTCACATCAATTTGCGTAAAGGTAATTGACCCAAAATATGCACATTACAATGAATACGTTCGATAAAAGTATCCAATATATTTATTGCGATATGCCTGTTTGGTGAACGTGAGGAATATGTAACTGTAAGTGTATTTATTATTAATGCTTCAAAAAGTGAGCAGTAAAAAAATGACATTGATAATTAATTCCTGTATCAACAATTAATTAAAATTATTTCAGAGCGAATGAATATAACGGGGTGAAGAAAAGTCCTCGATCAGATAACTCAGAAGATTCGGATATCGAAGATGATTTGTTTGATAGTTCATTACTAGCAGATTCACCAACACCATCAGAAGAATGCAACAGTAATGTGAAGTCACGAGATTTTAAGCCGGTGATAGTGACAAAATTATCAGCTGAAACTTCATCATCATCATCACTCGCGGAAACTTCTTCATCATCTGCAGGAATGTTTTCGGGAATGTGTAATACTTTTGATCCATTACAATTTGATCCCCTTCGGTTGTTAATGAATCGTTCTCTGAATGCTGCAGCAGTTTTGAATCCAATTCTTGGTCAATCCGCGGCTATGCTTAATTTGCAGCAGCAGTTATCGAAGCATATGTCGTCAACGCTATCTCATGCAAGTACGAAGCAAAGTCTAGGCTCATCATCTTCAGCCACACAAATCCAAGAAGATCGCGATGAAGCCACAAGTACTTGCCATCTTCAGAAAGATCGCAAACGAACAGCTGACAGGGATAGGACTCTTGTGGCACCAAAGCGCTCCAAATTGCTTATTGACGAGATTTTGAATCTGAGAACAAATAATGAAGAAGATTCTGTGAAAGCAGAGGAACATCTGATTGATGGCTCATGTCACATGGAGAATCGCTCTCCTTCTTCTTGTAAAGAGCAATCACTGCAGCAGAATTTAGCAACTAAAGATGAAGAAAACGAGTTAATAAATGATAACTGTGTAAAAAGCAAAGTACTAATGACCGGTAGTAAAAGTAGTTGCGATAATAGCAATAGTTCTAGACGTTAGAATTAAACGTGCACTTTTTTTTAATACTGCGACAACATTTAGCGTGAAGCTTGAAGTAGAAATGGGTACGTCGCTGAAGATCTCTTCTTGTGATGCCTTTAATTGGTGCATCATCTCAGAAGCACGGAAATATTGAAGCGTATAATTAAAATAAGTAGACAAGAGAAAACTGATACAAAGGACTGATCGCTTTAGATGTTCCAAATGCAATTTATAAACCTATCTATCTACTTATTTTAGGCGAGATCTATCTGAAACAAATGTGAATTTCCTATCAGTACTACTCGCTTAATCAGCTAGCTAAGAATCCTGAAATTAGTTTCCGCAGTACCTACTTTTACAGTTAGCCCAGTGTTGTAAATGAATGCATTATTACTAAAATTGTGGTGAAATGTGAATTTTGCTTGATTTTCATACATTTAAATAGTATTTCACGTTGTTTATTACTAATTCATTATATTTTGTTGAAAAAAAATACTGTCATCATTTTAGGTGAAAAATTATCCTCACAAATTATGGGTTAATTGTTTTTGGGCTTTCTTTGATAAGAAGATTCTTCACCTAAACTCAGTTTGTGAATTTAAATGGCTTTCATAATGATGTAGACAGTAATAGCTACTTCTAGCTATTCAAAGATGTAAAAAATACTGTAAAAGTAGACATCAGTTATCAGATATAATCATAAAAGGACAAAATATTAATCATGATTATGAGTCATTTGATAAGGATATTTGTAAATGCATGTAGCAGTGAGGAGCACACTTTTTCAGTTGATCAATTTCAAAATAAATGAACACACTGAAAGTAAGTCAAACATTCTGACTTATCACTGGCTGAATGTGCAAATTACAACTGCGCACTTTGCTCACAGATTAATTAATTACATGAATTTTATGATTTATCGAAGAAAAAGAATAATTACTTTGCTACAAATGTAATTTTTTGAATATTTTATTAATTTATTTCTTGTATTTCTTGTGTAACTATGTAACTGAACATGTAGTTTTCTAATTTAAACAATAAATTGTGTAGTTTATTGCACTCAATTAATCTCTTGAAGTCATTACAGAAGCTATTTTTTATTACAATGTATTTTTTTATGCACTTTTGAACATTAAAATTACATGAATAAATAAAAGTCTCAGTATATTACTAATTAATTAATTAATGCGCATTCACAAAAAAATTGTTACGACATAATAATAATAATAATAATAATAATAATAATAATAATAGTAATAAAATAATAATCATAATCATAAATTAATAAATAAATATCAGCAAATTTAATACGAATGCTTGAAATATCACAGAGATATTTTTTTCTCTTTAAAAAATGAAACAAATAAAAGTTTGCCGCAATAATAAGTGATTAGAAAGGATTAAGGTGATAAAGTACGATTGTGATGTCTTGAGAAAATAAAAACAGTGTCAATGACGATAAGAGGACAATGGTGGTACAGTATCATTGACATCGATGGCGAGAAGAGACTAAAGCTTCGCATGATGCAACTCTCTGAATTTTTTTATGATTTTAATTTATTAAAAAATATGCATTACATATATAAACTACGACTCATTATGACGCATTTTATAGCAGTTATTGCTATCAGTGATAAAACTATCACTGTATCAGTTCTAAGCCAACTATCTGCTCTTTTAACCTCTTAATCGCAAATTTTCTGTGCACTTTGAATCGCCTGAGGTTGTTTTATATGTTCAGAAAACTTGGATATTATACAAATTATTTTTTTGATTCAAAACTGAGTGCGAGGAATTTTGGGGCAGTAATTAATAGTAAGGAGCATTGAAGTAATCACTTGAATGAATTTATAACATTAATGACAATGGAGCTGTGGTGCAAATTATGATAAATAATGGTAATTGATGATAACTGCCAACAACTTAATTATAGACTGGGTGAAAAGTAAGCAAATTTTTGGAACTATTCATCGCATACATCGAATTCGACATCGTAACTGGGATTTTTTTCAGTTTTTCAATTACCAAAAATGATGCTTTCTTGTATATTCACAAGCATAATATTTATTTGCTTGTGAATATACCACTGGTTATCTTAAGCAATTACTTACTTAATTATGATAAAATGTATTGAAGTTCTTTGCAGTGCAAAAAATTTTGAAAGCTGTTTTTATCATTTTTAATGAATGGCTTAGCCTAAAATACATACAGTTATATACATTCATATTTATTTTGTTGACTTTTAATAGTGTTCTATATTGCTGTGGAAAAATAATTTTATCAGTAATGATGTTCTCTTAGCAAAATAATACTCATTTTTCATTAAAAAAAATATTCATAAATGTAAAGGTAAAAAGTTTTGTATCTATGTCAATTAAATTTGATTATTTACGATTGAACAATTCGAAAAGTATAACAATTCTGCTAAAGTAGTAGTCCAAGTTTGATTTATAGTTTGATCAAGCAATAAGTATAAAATAAGATTTGATTTTACAAAAGACCAAATCTCAAAGTGATGAACAACTATTACTGATTAGGATTAAGTGATTGTAATCACGATGGTGTTGTTATCTTATCGAACTCTTTTCATTCTTTCCCTTTAATGAGTCTTTTGGTAGGAACTAATGCATGAAACCAGCACAATTATCGTTGCTTGATCATGTAATGATGGAAGGCAGTTTGCTTGTGGATCACTCGAAAAACTACCTCGTTGGTTACGTTATAAACTTGTTTTCCTAACTGAACAAACAGAGTATTTGCCGTAGAAATGTGCGTTTAAGAGCAGTAGTTTAAGGGAAACATTACTGCTTCTTGCCTTCTGATGAATTACAATTCTTTTGCAAATTATTGATAAGTAAGAATACTCTATAGAAATAAATTGCTCTGATTACACTTTATTTCATTTTTATTTATTACTAATATGGATTGAAAGATTTTCGCAAAAATAAATAGTGAAGAAAAATTAATTCAATATGAAAACTTTAATTTTTACTGTTACTAATTAAAATTCATCAGTAGTATAATAAAGACTTTGGTGAAATTTTTTTCATAACATGGAAGAAAATCAATCTTACGTTGAAATTTCCTGGCTATTCAGATAGAAGCAATTTTGAATCAACGTAACAAGTTTCAGATGCACTTGAGAGATTCAAGTAAGTGTGCATTTTCAAGACGAAAACTAGTTACCTGAAAATTATGCAGCTTTTTCTCGCTCAAAATTATCACTACTTTTCTTGTCACTATTGAATCTTCGTAAATTGTTACTAACTAAAAATTAATGTAAAAATAAATTTTCAATGTTTTCACGGAATGATATTTTGTAGCCTTTTATATAATTTTTGAGAGATTTATTTGTTAAAATAATCAGGCAAAATTCTCGCCACAATGTGGTACAAATAAATATTCCTATGAAGCACATGTTGTTTACTTACAAATACTGTGAGAAAATACTGACTTGACATGGGCAAAAATTTTATTTTGCTTTGTTTTGATTATGAATGTGGATTTTATTTAATTTAATATGAGTGAATCTGAAGAATTCAAATCAAATTCAACACTTGGTACTCCATAAATATAGTGGAATCCAAAATTTTTAATGTGAAATATTAAATGTGAAAAGCAATAAGTACGCATCCCAACTAAAGTGTGCATTGCTTTCGCTGCACGCAAACTGAAGAAACGAGCAAGAAATTTGCTCTAATATATGTTCAGAGCAATGATACTGAAGTTTCGCATAAGAAATAAACGGCGAGAAATACTTTCAATCGTCGCAAGTAAATGCAAAGCATTTATTTCATTTTCAAGTAAGAAAAGTGGAAAAATAGTTTGAGCGAAATTAAATTAAAAGATTTAAATAAGACGATTGCAACACTGAGATTTGCTTAATTAGCTTTGTTGCTAAGATGAGTTAATGCAAATTTATTCAACTTCAACGTCAAGAATGACATAATTGCAATGAGACGAGTTTCTCCTCTGAAATAGGTTCCTTTTCAGTCCTTCACAACAAGTGGAAAATGATGAAGGAAATCCGAGAAGAAGAGATAAATGGCATTCCGAGACAAAGAATATCAGTCCTGAGGCTCGTTAGCCCGATCTTGCCTGATAGTCTCTTTCTTGTATCTAAGAGGATAATCAAGATTAGAAACTAGCCCTTTTTTTTATCCATCCTAGTGAGCATGATAGTTGTTGACTTATCCTTCTCATCACTGACTCCACAATGCTCACTATGCCATCTATTCTTAGCTAGATATTTTCTTATGCAAATTTTCTCGTCAACATTAGGGGGAAAGTCTGTCTCTAAGAAACAATCTAAGAAATAGTCCACTCTGAGAATAAAACTTCTCCAATGGTCATAACGAGTTTTTGATTTTCGAAATTCGGCCATACTCAATTACTTTTTGAAAAGTAACTTTATCATTCAATTTCGAATATGACTTTGACTATCTCACTTTCTTGATTTTATTTTACCTGTCAGCCTTTTCATGAATGCAATGTCACTGAGCAGACAGAAAAGATCTCAAAAAATGAACGGTCACAAAGGGCAAGCATTCATTATTTTCAGTGATTACAGTGCGTAGAGCAATCACTTAGCCACTTAACAGCCATTTACAACTAACAATCTCGAGAAACGACACCTATTGTGTCAGTGACAGGTCAAAGGTCATTATTATCTTTTCTCGATAAGTACCATGAAAAGATTAGATTAACTACACTATTTGCTGAATCTAAAAGGGTGAGAGGGTTCAGTCACACAAAAAAATTATTCAAAAAACTTAAAATATAACACCCCAACTTAAAAATTGTAAAAATTAGAGTTCAGAATAAATCAGCACAACATAAATTAATACTTTTTTAACCTTCTACATGTAGTATTCTGTGCCTAAAAATTCCAAGTTCAAGTTTAATCTTAATTAATTTACAATAATAAAAATACTACTACTACTAATAATAATAATAATAATAATAATAATAAATATCATGCATTTTAATCAAAGTATATTTCAATTGCAATTATGTTA